AATTGTACGTGGATGTGACTATACTGTTTAGTGGGTTTCTAAAAAAACTAAATGAAAAAAAAAAAAAAAAAAACTGTTGAATTTTAAATAACAATGAAAAGTGTTGGAACTTAAATTTTAAAACATAAACATAGAAATAGTTTAATAAATAGTTACGGCATGTCGGTGCTAAAGTTAATTTCAGTAAATAAGTATTTTGTAGGGCCTGGCATAACCTAGTGGTTAGTTTAGGGTCGAGAGTTGGAATCCAAGCTATTGAACATAATCATCCTACATGGTTGCTGATTGGGCGAGCTATCTGGGTGTAAAAACCCTTGGCTTACAAAAATACCAGCTGACCTCTAATTCAATGGGACTAAAGTCAAAATGGAAAAAAAAAGTATTTTGTAATTCACTAAAATGAGTTAAAAGAAAAACCTGGTAGCTACAATTAAATAGATAAGCTCAGTTTATATACATAAATGTGATGATTTCCAATTGCAGTCATAACCTTCAGAGTAACATGGGCTTCATTGTTTTCTTAGAAGCAAGGTCACAACCTCTCAAGTATTGAAACGACACAAAATAAATGATGATAATATTTTTTATTTCTCATCTTCTACATTGTTTAAGTAAAATTTTATCAATTCAAAAATCATATGTATGTATAAATAATCTAAGAAACACTCCAATTATGTAGAAAAAAACAGATTTGTTTCCACTGACATTGAAAAAGTTCAAGTCTTATGAAATTAGGTATATTTGTTATAATCTAACCACAAAATTTCTCTTCTTTGTTACAATTTGAGATAATTAATACTTTAAAATATCAATGATTTCTTCTAGAGAAATACAAGGTTTAAGTTAAACTACAGATTTACAATGAGCTATGATTTACCTCTTATCACATGGTTTTCAGTATGCACGAGTTCAAAATTTTTTTTATGTACACACAAATTTTTTTTTATACCGATACGGAATACAGTAAAAACATTAATAGCTTTAAAAAAACTGAACATGGAAATTTTTAAAAATTAAATACTTGAGTTGAAACAATGACATTTTTACTTACTTTTAAAAATTACTTAACATTTTGAGAGCTTTCATGGAAAATAAAAGCACGAAGAAATACATTATCGCTAACATTTTTAGTCAAAATAAATATAACAAACATTTTACCCGAGAATTTAAAATCAGCAGGGCACCCACATGGTTATGGTAGTTGGTTAGTAAGCTGTTTTTAGAGCCAATTGTTTTCTTTATAAGTTTTATACTAAAGTGACATCTGTAGCTTACACAGCTAGAAATATAGGGTACCTAATCTCAACGCTACCAAATACCCAAACACTACACTAAAAGCAACTGAGAACACAGAAAGGTCTAGATAAGTAACTTCAGATGTAGTTTTTAGTCCTGAAAACATTAGTGACCAGAATAATCTGAAGCTTTTTTTTAAAGCTGCAGAGATATTTCCTTCCTTATCACTTATACTTAGCAATTCAACATTCTTGTTTTCTAGTCTTCCTGCCTTCTGCATGTAAAATATGACAGTAAGTAACCAATATGCCGAATTTTGTGTTGTACAATACTAAGTGTTATATTTTCAAAAATAAGAAAGGTGAGACCATGCAAATGTAACGCTGTTGTTTCAAAAAAGTGGATGATCACTGAAGTAATGGCCACATTTTTCTTGGTGTATTGGTTAGCTACGTGTTTTTTTTTCCCCACTGTCTAAAAAATATGTAGAAAACAGTAAATTTTCTCATACTCCCTGATGCAGGAGGTACAGGTCAAGGTTTGTCCTCGTGAACACATTTCTGTCAGTTCCACCTATCTCGAGTTACCTATCAATCAGGGAAGTATCTTTCTATAAACTGGTTCAAATTCATCAACTCCCCAACTCCAGTTTCGGGTTTCATGCTAATGAATTCTTCTAAGTTGTTGGTGCTCTCTGTTAAAAGTGACAACAATATATTTTAATGTAACTCAGCCATGAATACTGAAGTGAAGAACTACTCTTGTTTTTTAAGTGAAAAACTTTAGCTCAAGGAAGCAGAAATGTTGGAGAAATTTCTATTATTATTTTTTAAGTCATTTTTACTTAGAAAATACTTCACAAAAATATAATCTAACACTCAAGGAGCTACTCATGGTTACTTTTACAAAGAAAAACATTCTATCCAAAGAAGATATATCACAGTCGGGGTAAAGTCAATGACTATGAAAATGTAGTACAAATGGGACTAAAATTAACACTGCTTATTTCTAATTTTTATTCAAAGTAGAAATAATAATAATAATATTAAAACATTTTTTAACATTTTTTAAGAGTAAGTTTGGAAAATAAAGGTGTAGGTTATGAAAAATAAGGCTGTAAAATGCACATGCATAATGAAATACGTTTTCTGTGTAACTAATTATGCTAGACTGGTTAGCTCTTCAAAACCACATGAACTACATACAATAGAAGAATAATTACTGTGAAAACTATAGGACTAAAACTCTGTATAGAGAAACTTGCTAATTTTAGACTGTATTTCTGCAGAATAAATGTATTAAGTACTGGTACAGAACTCAATACCGACTCAAAAACTTAGAAGTCTATTTGGCTCCCATGACCACATTTTAGAAATCTTCTTAACTTTTCTTCCAAAGGCAATTATTAATAAATAATATATACATATACCCTGAAAATTTGATGACAAAGAACCCACTTTGAGACTAATAATGCTTGGAGAGGGCTTGAATGGGTAATGAAGAAAAAAACTTTAGTATAAGTTTAACCTAATGATGACAAAACCTTGTTGAAATGTTGTACATTTGTTGTTATGCTAAACTTATATTAAAGTTTTTCTTCATTACCCATTCAAGCCATCTCCAAGCATTAATACCCCGAAAATGAAGACAAACTAGACTGAAACATAATGTTAATATTACAGATATGCTATTTAAGCACAAAAACTTTGTTTTCAAGTGGATGACTGAAGAATTAATAAGGTTAATTTGGTTGTTATGTTAAATGTTATTATTTAAATTAGTTGCAACAATTTACAGAAAGCTTCCAAATATTTTAGACATAAATTGCTTGAACTGTAGAATTTAAGTAAATGGACATAGAGAAAAAGAAACATTCCAAGGTTTTGTGTCAACAAATTTGCTACATGTGAGAAACAAGGATACCTGTAGTACTTGCCATGCTGATTACAGTAAGTTGTCCAACACTCACAGGATAATGGATGTGGTTTGGTTAGGACAACATATACAACTGAACCTCATTCACATCATCTATTTGTGTCAACAGTATACTTTGTGATACACACTGAGCAAGTTTAAGTGCAAGTATTATACTGGTGAATATGCTTTTGACCCCATGTTTTAATTATTCTAAAGAATCACTTTAAAAGTCTATGGTTAATATGAACTGGAATATTCAATCTTATTTATAACAGTTTTTAACAAAATTAAAGAACATTGGATGCATTAAAATTGTTTATTGGTAAATGAATGTGTTTCATACATTATAAAAATATTTACATTAAACCAAATGCTGCTTATCTAAATATTACCATGTTATCAGACTTCAAACCTGTTACCCTTAAAAAACTAAAAAAAAAAAAGAAGAAAATAAGCTATTTTCAAACTTAAACAAAATATAATAACTACAGGATCTCAGAATAACAGAGCAAAAATACCATTTTATGTGGAAAAGTTTAAACTTAAAAATATGGAGTACTGGCTTTTCTTAGACAAATCAACAAAACTAGGAATTCATAAAGAAACCCAGACTTTCAAAAATCATGTTTATTCTCCCTTTTTTCCATCCAAATTTATTTATTAAATAATTCCTATGCCACAATTTTCTTTCTGGTCAATTTATGTTTTATTTGTCTGATTTTTGTAAGGTGTAAGCTTTTCTCTCACATTGATAAGCCTAAGGATGAGAACAGAAAATGAAATTTTGACTGTCCTGGGTCCTCTGGAAACCATAGAGGTCTATAAGATTTCTTGTGTATTCTAGGACATTGTGTGGTACTAAACATTTACTTATTGTTTTTAGCTCAAAACTACTCCACGGACTATCTGCACTGCACTCTTTCCACCACAGGGAATCAAAGCTCAGATTTAGTATTGTAAGTCTGTAAATAGACCCACCAGAAGACCATTATTCACTACTAAAATGATAAGTAAACAAGAGACTTTAGCCAACTCTTACCACTGAGCCTCTCAAAAGGCAGATATAGAATATTATGTATGTTCATACATGAACCTTTGCCTTTCCAACTAAATTGTTTTTAATTCTAAAGCAAATTAATGTATTTTGGAATTTGTTTGCACAGTAGCAATAACTTTTTTTTTTTTAGTAAATGTTTACTAATAAAGGGGATAAAGTAATGTCAGATAATAAATTTGATCAATAACACACAAACATTTATTGTAATTGTTTTTCATTTTAAGAAATTTTTACACTAGGTTGACTGTCCAGCAACTGGGTAGTTAAAAGGAGTCTCATATATTGATATAGGTTTAGCATAAGTATCAAAGCAGAGAAGTCTAACGTTTATTAAACCTAGTACTGGTACGTTATCTTCAGTCCTTGCATCACCCAACCCCCAGCATTTTCCTTACTGGATTTTAAAGTATTGGGTGGATGGCCAACTTGACAATGTAAATTGCAGAAATATGCCAAATTTCTCAATCTAAAGATCACAAGAACTGATACACAATCCATAGAAAAAAACACCCATACTGGACTATACATTCCCTGGGACTCAGCACATGAAACAAAACAAAAACTCAACATATTAAAAAAACAAATAAACAGAGCCACAAAACTATGCTCACCGGATAAAATTAATGATAAAATTTAAAAATTAAAACAACACTTCATAATGTCAATAAATTTCCTTCAAAAACCATTGAAAAAATTATACACAATTACCTAGGCCAACAACACAATTAACAGCAAACAAACAATAATAAATTCAATAAAACAGCTAACTATAAAACCCTGCACTGTTGCATACCATATATTCCTGATATTAGCGATAAAATAACCAACATTTGGAAAAACTTGCAACAAAACATATCATTCCAATGAACACTAAACCAAGATCCATACCATGTAAAAACTACACTGACAAACACAACACCAATATTATTTATAAAATGCAATACCACAACTTCTATATCAGAGAAAGAAGCTGAAAAATGGAAACCAGATTCAACGAACACCAAAGAACACCTTTTGACATTTTAGAACACTGCAAGTCAAATAAACACAACATAACCATAGAAAACACCAACATATTAAGTAGACAAACAGAGACAAATAAACGCAAAGTCAAAGAAGCCTTACTTATACAAGAACTCGAACCAACTGAACCAACATAAAGCAACATCTTTATACCCATGTTAATTAATCACCTAACGTCCAACTGCTATGCCCCCTACAATCTCGTTCCCATTCACACTCTCGTCCCTAGGACATGTGCCCAGTAATGGTCAGTTTCAAACTGTCTTTGTTCACCTGAAGATGACCTAAGAAG